CAAACACAGAACAATGGTTAGAAACAGAACGATTTTATGAGATTAAAACTACTTTTCATATACAGCAGAAAATATAGGATTTTCTGGAACAACTTACAGATTCATAAAACAGAAAACATACTTTTAAACATAAATACTTATGCACTCACTCAACTTTATGTTGATACTCTCTTTTCAAATTACTTGTATTCTCAGGGAAACAATAAACAGGTACTCCCCGAGCTTTTTGAGAAGATGGAGCTATTTTGAGTCATATCTTATGTATTTTGCTATAACTATTTTGTTGTCAATATACAGTGATTGAACACATGTAAATACTTTTACTTTTAAATGCAATGGTTTTTGTACTTTGATTACTATGAAGCATGTGTTGTGATACTACAAATGAAGTCCTCCACCCTCGGACGTTTCCGCCGTCTGGTTCGGGGTGTGACAGTATGTACGGGTCTGGGTGCCAGACTTTGGTGGGGTCAGGCAGATTGTGCTAGAGGAGGTGCAAAAGTCCAGGTTTTCGATACACCTCAGAGTCACCAAGATTATCGGGATTTGAGGCTTAGTTATTGGTGGCCGTGCATGAAGAGAGAGATAGCCTGGTATGTTGAGATGTGCTTGGCCTGCCAGATGGTCAAGGCCGAGCATCAGAGGACGCATGGCAAGCTGCAACCATTAGAGGTTCCCATATGGAAATGGGGACATATCATAATGTATTTCATCACCAAGTTGCCTCAGACGGCTAATGGATTCGATGCGATATGGGTTATTGTGGACCTTTTGACCAAGAGCGCCCACTTTCTAGCCATTCGAGAGAGTTCTTCAGCTAAGAAATTGGCCGATTTTTATGTACGCGAGATTGTTGCTCGGCACGGTATCCTAGTCTCCATTGTATTGGATCGAGATGTTCGGTTCACATCTCGTTTTTGGTAGAAGTTCCACAAGGAACTGGGTACGAGGTTGCACTTTAGCACTGCTTATCATCCGCAGACTGATGGTCAGAGTGAGTGGACCATTCAAACACTTGAGGACATGTTGAGAGCATGTGTCATTGACTTCAGTGGGAGTTGGGACTCCTACCTTCCCTTAGCTGAGTTTTCTTACAACAACAACTATTACTCCAGTATCGGTGCACCGCCTTTCGAGTTTCTTTATGGGAGGAAGTGTATTACCCCATTATGTTGGGGAGAGATTGGTCACAGAGTATTGTGAAGGACTGAGGTAGTCCTTCAGACGTCAGAGCTCATCCAACAAATTAGGCAGAGATTGCAGACAACTCAGAGTCGGTAGAAGAGTTATGCAGACAAGCGTTGATCTGAGTTGGAGTTTCAGGTCGGTGACATGGTTTTGCTGAAGGTATCACCCTAGAAGGGTGTAATACGCTTCAGGAAGAGGGGTAAACTAGGGCACCGATATATTGGGCCATTTAGGGTGATTGCCAGGGTTGGCAAGGTAGCTTATAAGTTGGATTTTCTTGAGGAGCTTAGTTAGATTCACAACGCCTTCTATATTTCCCAGCTACAAAAGTGTGTGACTGATGATTCAGCGGTTTATTCCTTTGGATGATGTTTAGGTTGATGATCGCATGAATTACATTGAGAGAACAATGACGATTTTAGATCGGAAGACGAAGGCCTTGCGCAACAAGGTGGTATCTCTAGTCAAGGTCTAATGGAAACATCGGAGGGATTCCGAATGGACTTGGGAACCTGAGTCTGAGATGCAGGAGCATTACCCGGAGTTGTTCGCAACAGCAGACTTCGAGGACGAAGTTTAGTTCAAGTAGGGGAGGATTGTAACATCCTGATGATGAGGTATTTTCAACTTTAACCCTAGTATCAAGAAATATTTCATTTTGGCCCTTGTGGATGAGAAAGTTTGCACAATGGCCCATAGTGGCATTTTTGTAATAATTGGGGCGGACTCACGTATGCTGAGCATTCTCCTAGAGTATGCGGGGCGTACATGGGTGAGCCAAAAATCCTAATTTTTAGGGTTTGGACCATATTTAAACATCCTTAAGTCCCCCAACTTACCTTCTTTCATCAGCCTCCAACTTACCTTCGTCCCTAAACAAACCCTAATCCATTTTTGAGCCATATTGAGCTTTGAGTGTGTTTGGTCACTTGAAGGAGAGATGAATAAGAGAAGATCATCTTGGAGGAGTATGACTCTTTGGATCTAGAATCTCATCATCATTTGTCATCACCTTGAGGTAAAAAGCTTTGAACTTGATGAAATATATGCATAGATCTAAGTTAGCCTTGAATTTGTGTCCTTTTGGTCCCATTAGTTGGGTATTTTGAGTATGTGATACTTCAATCCATTCAATCCGTCCTTTCAGATGTTTTGAGGTGCTTAGAGGCATAAAAATGTGGACTTGGTCATTTATTCCCTTCCATGCATCTGCTACAAGGTCTTAATGGGTTAAGTAGATAAGGTTTTTAGTATTAAGTACTTTTTGGCCATGCAAGACCATAAAGTTGGAAACTTTATGGTTAAGGACATTATTTGGGGCTTGGATCTGACTTTGGACGTAAGGACTTGATGTATTAAGCTCTTAATGAGAATAGAGGCTGACCATGTGCGTAACCTGGGCGTACCAAGTGGTACGTTGTGCGTATGCGGCCAGAGCCCCGTCATCTGGACAACAAGCGAGTATGCCCCGCATATAGAGGAGTACACCTAACGTACTCGGCTGGGTTGACTCGGTTGAGTTGACTCGGCTGGGTGTTGACTTGACCTTTGACCTTTGAGCAAGTTTGACCAAGGGTATTTTAGGAAACTGTTATTAATCTAGAATGGGAAATGTTTTGATTATTAGAGTCGAGTAGAGCCGGTTGTCGGAGCAGAGATTCATTCAGACTGTATTCGTATTGAGAGGTGAGTTTTCCTCACTATACTTATGGGTCAAAGGCACCAAGGCCTGCCCATTGGATTAGATATCCTGTTTTGTTGTATGCTGTTATGCGGAGTTATGTGGTACTGGTTATGTGATTAGACTAGTAGATCTGTAGGACTACCTTTGTTTGATGTTGTTGACTGATAATGATATATATTTATATGGTATGGGTTATTGGGTTGAGGCGAACCAGCTGAGACTGAAGGCCAAGATACCCAGGGCAGTCCGGATAGACTGAAGGCCTGCAAGGCGGTCTAGTCAGGCTGAAGGCCCAGAGAGCGGTCAAGATAGGATGAAGGCCATGTGAGTCGGTCTAGTCATGCTGAAGGCTCTGTATGCATGTTGTTGTTTGTTATGTTTATGTGGTTGTACGTTTGGGAAACTCACTAAGTGTTGGCTTACAATTTTAGTTATGTTTCAGGTACTTCTGAGGACCGTGTCAAGACGAAGGTGTGACCGTACACATCCTTGGTTCATGATGTTGGATCTTGGGAGACTCTGATTTTAAATAATGTTTTTGAGAACAATGGTCATGTAAATACTTATTGAGTAAATGGGCTGTTTTTGAAAAGTTTAAATTTGTTGTGATTTTTGGACGTTACATAAATGATTTTGGAGGGTAATTATTTCTTCGTTTTGTTCACATTTATACATTTTTTGTATATGATTAACCATCAAACTTTTTAAATGCATTCATATGTTACCATTGTCACCGACTATCACAGGTGACAATGGTGACATGTAAGCACATTTAACAAGTTTGATGGTTAAATGTGTATAAAAAAGAAGTTGCCTAATTATAAACAATACAAAAAAATAATTACTATAATAAGTCATTTTCCCTTGAATCAATGGTGACTAAGGAGCATTAAAGCATAGACTTTCAAATTATGAAAAATGGGAAAGGGGTGGATTGACATGTAATGAAATTTTAAGCTATATGATGAAATGTCCGATTTTTATGTTGACACGTTTGTTAAATTCATTGTCCATGCCAATTTTAGGACCAATTAAGAAGATATTTGGGTTGAATCTGTAAGATTGTAGATTGTATTAGAATTTATATTTTACTATATATTAAAAGTAAACAATAGCTACACTACATACTTCTCCATAGATCTTAAAATACAATAACAAGTTCTTTAAAAGTTTCTTCATATTTAGATATTCAATGGCATCACCTAGAAAAGCTTTCAATGCCTCTTGAAGAAGAAAGCAACCAACAAGTTGCTCTCATCGATTATGCTCATTGAGATGAAAAAAATAACCAATGAGAGTAGCTTGTTGATTGCTTTCACAAAGATGCATTGTTTTCGAAAATACATGAATGCCTCTTCGAGAAAGCTACCAACAAACTGCTCTCATCGGTTAGTCTTTTCATCTTCATCTTCTATCATCCCCTGTTTTTTTGAGGCTCCGGTGAAGAATTAGATGAAGTTATTTAGAGGGTAACTAATTAATGTTAGCTTCTTGGATGCGTGTTTTCTCGTTTCTCTTGGAGAAATTAATGGCTATTTAAAGGGCTCATCTAGCCTTATAGTGTTGGGTGTACTAATGATCCGAAAATTTGATATGCGTACTAAATGAATTTTTATCTTTAAATGAAGAAAAACATATTTTTACAGCCTGTTGGGTACAATAGTTTTAGAATGTAATGGAAATAACAAATGTTTACAGCCTTAGCCATATATATTATTCCTCAAATTATATTTTCGAAAAATCTATGACTTGTCATTACTTGGAAATTTATTAAATAAGATTTATGACCAAAATATTTATTGCTTTGAAATTATTGAATAAATCTCCAAGCAAGGCATGTCGTAGATTTTTTTTCTAGAAGAGCATTAGGGGAAAATATATATTGCTATGATTGTAATTTTTTTTATTTCCATTACAGTAGAAAACCATTTATTGTATCCAATATTTGCTAAGGTTGTAAAAATGTGTTTTTCCGCATTTAAAGATTAAAAATGATCAAAATTTCATGATATCATTAATGCGCCCAACATTTGCAATGATACATGAGTTCTTTAAAATCCACCGGTTTCTCCAAGAAAAAACCAGTAAACATACATCCAAGAAGCTAAAATTTTTTACCCTCTTGAAAATGCCTCGAAAGAATAAAGGACGACAGAAGATCGAGATGAAAAGAATAACCAATGAGAGCAACTTGTTGGTGGCTTTCTCAAAGAGGTATGCAGGTCTTTTCAAAAAGGCTAGTGAGCTTTGCACCCTTTGTGGGGTGGAGATGGTAATCATTATCTTTTCCCCAACTAAAAAGGTGTTCTCATTTGGCCATCCATCTGTTTATAGTGTTCTAGATCGCTTTTTGGAACAAAGCCATCCTTCAAGATCAAGATCGAGGGCATATCAAATTATGCAACATTATCGCAATTCCAACATCCGAGAACTCAACATGCAACTCACGAACTTGCTTGGTCAACTAGAAGTTGAGAAAAAGACTAGTAAAGAACATAAGAAGACAAGGAATATGAGGCATGAGGATTATTGGTGGGATGCTCATTTGGAGAACCTAAGAGTAGAAGAGCTAGAGACATTGAAGGATGCAATGCTGGAACTAAAGAAGAACTCTGAAAGACAAGTAGAGGCATATAGGGAATAGGTGGCTAACCCTACAATAATAGTGCCCATGTATGGTGCAACTATTTTTGTATCTTGTAATCTTGATTATTTGAAGTATCTTTTTGTTTTATTGGATTAAACCATATGAGTTATAAATGTGATCTTTATAAAACTAAATAATATTCTATCTTTATTTTTTTTCCTGTTTGGGAAAATGAAATACGTTCTCAGGTTTTAATCACACGTTAAAACAGAAAATCAAGTTTTTGGCTTGCCCATTTCATATCCGAGAATTTAAACATGCTCGTGTTTGAAAATAATAACTACCATGTCACCTTGGACTAGTAATGTTATGTTTTTAGTACTAGAGGTATACTTACAATTTATATGCAAACTAGTAGAAGTCGGGTACGCTGCGTGTTGTGACAGTGAACTCCTTTGCAATTGGTGTATAGAATGTGATTTTCAAATGTCAATAGTCCACATATAGAACAGTGACGATTATACCATATCATGTAACAAATGGTAAAAATAGGTGAACGTTCGCCGGTGAAACCACTGCGAACCCTGTTGTAATAGGACCTATTTTATAGCATTCCTTATTTTGAATTCAATTGAAGTCATTATACTCATAATTGCATGCAGAATACTCTAGTTGTCTCCACTTTATGTTGAACGCTAAAGAGCGAAACACAATTCCCAAAAATAAGTACTATTTAATGGGCTAAAAATAAAACTTAAGAGTTAAGTATACTTGTGAGTAATTGACACCTAAATTGGATAGAAGATATTCATACGTCTTCGTGGATATAAGGAACGTCGAAAACGGAGATTGTATGCAAATGTTATGTTCTTTTTACGGATGAAAATCAGTCATATAACTAATTTTCCTGGAAATGAAAACCTTATTGCTTCGTTGGGAAAGCTACACATTTCGTAAATTGTTTTCGAGCACATTTTTGAAGTCAGGCTATATGCTAATATTTGATTCCATATTTGGAATATTTTTAGCTCGACATTGTAACACTTTCGCTAAAACTGTCGAAACAAGGAAACTATAAAATTAACCAAACTAAAACTTTGAACACATTTTAAACATAATATTGTCTCTCATTTGAGAATTTCGTTTACATTTTTAGACTCAGCACGCTCGGGACAATCGACAAGCATATTCGGAAAAAAATTACGAAATCAGATTACAGGGCGCGCATTACGAAACGACACTTGTCAACTAGAGAGAGGTGCTGACATCATCCCCATTACATCATATTTGGTTATTTAAGGAAGAAAAATCAGCATAAAAATTTGGACCATCTCACTCTCTCTCGGGTTTTGTGCCACCGGCGAGGGGTTTTCTAGCCGCAAGAAAATCGTGACCAGACCTCTTCCACCGTTCCTCCTCCTTATGCAACAAAGCCACCTACTGCCGACCACCAGCTCCGACGAAGGCCGCCGACGAAAAAAAAGCTGAGAAAAGCCATCTCCAGCGTCACGCACCGTCATGAAGCGGCGGAGCTCTGGTTTTCCGGCCAAACTTCGGTAGTCCCGTTTGGCGTAAAAATTACTTTTCAGTGTTCATGACAAGCAGATATGTAAGCCTTCAGTGTCGGTTCATCCAAAAAGTATTCATTTCAAAAGTCAAGAAAATGTGAAACGAGTCCTGATTCTTGAAACGAACACTTTTCACGCTTTAAGGGTGAGTTCTACGACCCCTTTTAACCTTTTTATATTTTCAAGGGAGGATACATGCAATACTCGTATTTATGTTTACATAAACTCGTTATATGTAACATTTAAGTTTTGGTATGTTTCCTTCTTAGTCCTTAATGTAAAATTGTTTATATTTTGGTCTCTAGATAGTACGCGGGGCGTACTCTATGATTACGCATAGCGTACTAGCCCATTAGCTGATCACTGGTTTCACCCACGTACGCGGGGCATATGTGGAGTATGCATGACGTATGTGGTGATGGCCAAACCCTAATTTTTAGGTTTTGCACCCTATTTAAACAACTTATCTCACTCTTGGACACTCTATTGATCAACCTCCATCACATTATGCCCAAATATCAAAACCCTAAGTGTAGTTGGTCAGATTTGAGCTTTAAAGTGAGTTTGTTAGTGTTTTGTGGTGAAGAAGAAGAAGAGGAACACTTGGAGGGTGTTTGGGAATAACTTGAGCTTGTAGATCCAGAGTTATCTTCACCTTAGCAAGCCTTTTGAGGTAAAAGCTCTCACCTTGATGGTCCTTTGTGCTAGATCCATTTTATGGTGTTATTTATGCATTTTTGAGTCTTTTGAGTTAAAGTTGAGCTTTTGATCTACTCGAGAAGCCATGAATGTTAGATCTTATCTCCCTTGAGGTCCCTTGTTCATAAAAATGCAAACTTTATGGAGAATATTGGTCCATGCAAGTATTAAGATCTTTTTTAAGCTCCTTTTTGAGCTTTGAGTCCCATTAAGCCATGCATGGGTGTAAAGTTGCCAACTTTATGTGATAAGTTACCTTCTAGAATCAGACCTAAGAGTTTAGCATGTTGTCTTAACCTGTTAAGTACTTAATGGAGTGGATTGGTAGTCTGGGGAGTACATTGGGTGTACCCAGTTGGTACGCTTAGCGTACTGGCCCCCGAAGGAGTACGCTAAGCGTACGAGCTGAGTACGCCCCGCGTACTCAACATATGGACTCTTGGGCTTGACGTTCACAGAATTGGGCCATGCTTTGGACTTTTAAGGTTGGGCCTTGTTGGGCCATTATACTTCTAATTTTGGGCTCTCTTGGATTTAGGCCCATGATGGGTTTTGGGCTCAATTTGGAAGATTGGGCCATGTTGGGCTTCAGGTTGCCATTTAGGAAATTGGGCGTTTTGAGTATTTGGGTTGGGCCTTGGTTTTGGGCCAAGTAAGAACAAGGGTAAAATGATCTTTTACCCTAGATATGGGTCAAGTACCTTAGATTTTTAATTATGGGTCGAGATCCAATTATTAATTGGATATTATTTGATGATGTTAGTGCAGGGATTTTCCGGACCAACAGACTGAGATTCATTTGAGTGTTTTAGCATCTAGGTGAGTTTCCTCACTGTGTTTAGTAGGTCGAAGGCACCAATGTCGGCCCATGGTTTGTTATGTTTAGGATGCTAGATGTCTGCGTGACTCTTGCATAAGTTATGTGTTTATATGTTTACCGGGAGGGGCCCGATGACCCTTCTGTATGCTATTTATCTTTGATATTATTGCATATGTTATGTGTTTATATGTTTATATGTTTATATGTTTACCGGGCGGGGCCCAATGACTGACAGATCTGTATACTGAGCGGGGCTCGATGCCGGGTGGGGCCCGATGACGGGTGGGGCCCATTATATGTTTACTATGTATGGTATGTGGTATCTTGGGGAACTCACTAAGCTTTGTGCTTATGGTTTTCAGTTTATGTTTTCAGATACTTTTGGTTCGAAGGGGAAGAGCACGGGATGATTGTAGTGCACACACCACCTTGTTTCGCATTTTATATTACTCTAATGTATTGGGATGTTATTGATACACTTTGATTCACCTTGATTTCTATGATGATGTTTTGGATAATAGTTTTATTAATTTAAAAACAAAAATTTTTAGTCTTAATTTTTGGGACGTTACAAGTTGGTATCAGAGCCTTAGTTTGAGGGATTTGGACGTACTCTTGGGTGTCTGAACTCAAACTGAGGGTTTGGTAGAATTTTTCAAAAAGAAATGTTTTATAAAAAGGTTTTTCTAAAAAAAGAAAAGGGTGTGGTGCATGCAATCGACAGAGTTCAAGTAAGTTTTCCCAAAATACCCATACATGTTTTATGATATGCTTTGATTTATGAATCTGTGAATTGCATGCTAGTTAGGACTAAGGACCTGCTCAGGATTCGCATGATAGAATGCTAGGAGAGATTCGTTTATATGCCTACTGTATGAGCCGTAGACTTGCATGCTAGTACTGACCAGTCAGTCATAGGATGGATTGTTTATGTTATGCTTGATTCTGATTACTCAATGCTTGAATGCTGCTTGCTTTGTGCTTTTTTAGGAGTTCACTAACTTCAGCTAACTAGTAAGTGAATATGCTAAGTTACATATTACAGAAACTAAATAATTTTCGAAGGTTAGGTTTTAACTCTATTGCGCAACTCTTGTTTGAGTCCAACCGTTGTAGTGTGAGACCTTTCATTCGAAGAATTATCTGGTGTCAGTGATATGTAATTATATTCATGAGCTAGTTAGAGGGTGCTAGTAGGAGTGCCTTCTGCAGCTGATGGCAGAGAGTGGTGTGGTGATTGCCCTAGGAAAACCTAGGAAGAAATTTAGTGCTGGGAGCCTATCTTTTTTGAGGATTGTATGTGTGGATAAAGAGTGACTTAGAGGATTGAAAGCGATCCTTAAGGAAAGTATGGATAGATGTGGAAGGTAGTATGGGCCCGTACTACTAGAAGCAGAGGATTCGTACTCGAGTCAAGGAGAGCTGCGATGAAACCAGGAAGCTTGCAGAGTATGAGACTCCTCGATATATTTATGTGTATCCTGATGGTTTAAATGGTCTATTTTGAGTATGGTGACTCTTCGAGGCAGACCGATTAGTGGTTCTGGTGTTGGTGAGGGTTCGGGCTTGGGTTCTGGAGCTGGGCAGTTGGATGATCAGACGCGGGAGTTCATTTCGTCTAAGATTACCCGCAACATACTTAAGCAGAATCATGTGATCTTTGGTACGGTCAAGGAGGGCATTCTGGAGGATATGATTGCGATAGACGGAGAGAGGGAGATTGATCTTGAGATGGAGAGGAAGAGGAAACGGATCAGGCTCAGGGTTCAGGGGGTTCAGGCAAGAGGCCCAAGGTTATGGATTCGAGACCGAGAGGCCAGCAGGGTCGGAGCCGCTGTGGTAGGTGCGGCAAGACGTACGATGGGACCTACAGGGAGGGTGGTTCTGGCTACTTTAAGTGCAGATGGACGGGTCATATAATCAGGGATTACACTACTACTACTACCACCACCACCCCAATATCTGATCTG